CAAGGAACACCTGCTCTATAACACTGATGAGGAAAGACTGTCCATCGTCCAGAAAGTGTTTCACCCATGGATTGGGAATATCTGGTTTCATATTTTGGAAGTACAAAATTTAAGGTAACTTGATAAAATAGTGTCTGATGAATTACTAATTAAACATTATCTCTTATTCTATTATATTTATTGCAGTCTGTAAGTGCAAAAAATAAATCAAACAGGGAAAAACAAACAACTAAGCATTCGTGTGGCTCTAAATCCTTTGCAAAAGTTGAAGAATCCACGGTAAAATTCTGTTAACCCTATTTTCATTGTCATAATGTTTAAGTAATGCTAGTTTTTACATATAATTTCACTACAGAAAGATCCCCAAACTGGAAAAAAGGCGACGGTAGATATAGTTTGGGAGCTCCAACACACACGTAAGAATGATAAAGGAGAATTGTTATGGTCGGATCCACAATCACAAGAAGTTCATGTAATTTTCATTCATCATTACCTTTATTATATTTATATATGTTATCTATTATTGTAAATAATTACACATATATAATCGCAGGGCCGTATTCACGCTCTTGTTACTGATCAACAACAACTCGAAGAAAATGCAAATCCAATGACTGGAGATGAGATTTTAGCCACTGTACTTGGAGAGAGAACATGCTACGTTCGCGGAAAAGGCTATGGAAAGAGGCCTCCTAGAAAGAACCACATGCAACAAGCAGATGTAGAAGCTAGTGTGTCTTCTGCTATGACAAACGTTCGGCAAGAGATGCAAGCTGAGATGGATCATAAATTACAAGAAGAACGAGAAAAAATTCGTGAAGAAATGGATAGAATATTCCAAGAGCAGATGAGAGAAGAAGTGGACAAAAGAATAAAAGAACAAATGGCTGATATAATGTCTAGAATGCAACAGGTGATGAATTATTATCTTTATACATTTTTTTTTTCACTTTTTGACTCCATTGAGGAGGTGGCAATGAGAGTGATTTACTTCTTCATATCAATAACTCTTACAAATGGTGGTCTGACTTCTTAAAATGTCTTATGTTTCATAACTTCTTCATATTAATAACTAGGAAAAGGATTTTTTGAGAATTCCTGTAGGAGCTCATTACATGTTAAGCCGTTAGTTGCATAAGAATGTGTTGATAACAACTCAAAACAGAAAGCACACACAAAGAAAGACACGAGAAAAGAATAGGATATAAATAACTTGACTTCTAACCACAACATCTTAGACAATTAGTATTTAAGAGAAGCTAGCTGACAAATTCATTTTCCTGAACCTTTCTTTTTATGTTGTACAAATTTATGATTAAATTGATTCTCTGCCTTTGCATATTATTGGACTACTGAATATTGATAGATGAAATCTTAATCTTTTCTGCTCAAGAAAAGAAGATCAAAATTGATAGTTTATGATTTACCTTAGGCCTATCTCATTAGCTTTACTTGACACCTTCTTTTGCAACCAATTTTTTTTGAGCAGTAAGTATTTTTTTAATTACTTCTTGTTTAATTCTCAATTATAATATAGGGCTGGACCTAGTTTATTTTTTGGTAGCAGTAACTAGTGGAGCTATGTTTTAATAAACATTCCAACAAAATGTAATTATATGAACTCTTCATGACTTTGAGTAACAACTAATGATCAGATAGGTTTGGCTTTGACTTTTGGAGATATTATTTTTCATGAATCTGATGTTGGCTTGCTATTAAATAATTAAAAGAGATGAGGGAAGCTTTACATTATTTTATTTTTTATTTTAATATAAATCAGCAGTATGTTATTGAAGTAATTCTTTTTTTAATTTCAGGGACAAGCTGCTTAGCAGGAGAATGATTGTGAAGGAGTCTAAAGTTATTTTGTGATACTCTTAGAAGTTATTTTGTGATTCTCTTGGAAGTTACTTTGTGATTCTCTTTTTGTGTATTTAAAATGATAAAATATTATGATGAGACTTATATACAATGGTCCTCATGAATTATGTAGTGATGTCTACTTTATTTTATGACTTTTATTAATGAAAAGTTCATAACTTTTGAGATATGATTGAACTAGTGTGGTTGGTCAACTATGCCAAAAATTAGTATTTGGTACAATTAGTTATTGGGTAACTATTATGAAAATATTTTTGATTAAAAAAAAATAGAAGTTGATATTAGTGGCGACAATAATTGCCACACAAAAACTATGTATGCATAATACATGTACATATTAGTGACAATGTATTGTCGCCACTAAAGGATTTATTTGTGGCGACAAGAACTGCCACCATAAAATCAAACTTTTGTGGCGATGACATACGACACTAATACATGTTGGTTGCGATAATGGTCGCCACCAAACATTTTGTTTTTGTGGCGACCCTTTTTTTGGTGAGATTTCTGGGTGTTTTCATGGCGACTTTAATATCTTTTGTGGCGACTTTTCTCGCAGCAACAAGTTATTTGTTGCAAGATATCGCAGCGACCTTTCATAGTCGCGACGAAAGGGTATCAGCCACTGAGTTTTTCTTTACGACCTTTGAGTCGCAGCAAAAGGTCATTCGTGGCGACTTTTAAAGCATTTGTGGCAAACTTAGTCGCCACTAAATAACTTATTTCTTGTAGTGAACGTCATGTTCTGATGATATTGCTCACGCATTAGAAGCTCTAGCTACATAGTAATGACGTGAGTAGGAAAGTGATATGAAGAGTCTGTAGGAAAATGATGTGTACAATTGTGAGACATAATACTTGTTTTGTCAAACAAGATTACAATGAAATAAACATCCGTCAAACAAGATTACAATGAAATAAACATCCGTCAAACAAGATTACAATGAAATAATACTTGTCTTCCCCCTCCCTAAACACCCTATTCTATTTGGCATAGACATTTGAAAGTAGAGATGGTGTTTGATCAACATTTTCATGAAGTATTTTTGGGTGTTAATTTATGAGGGAGAAAAAAATATTATTAAAGTCATTAACAATTAATCCTATAAATAACAATGATATTTAAAGGTATGATCTAATAATTAATGAAGTAAGTTATGAATCATGAAGTCTTCAATTCAAATTTTATTAAAGACAAAAATGCTAAATAAATGCTTTCACACCAATGGGCTTGGACAACATAATTATTGGTTTCTTTCCAAAAAGTATTTCTTTAAAAACCTATTTTGACAAAAACACATCATCAAAACAAGTCATTTTTTGAAGATTGACCAAACCATGCTTTTCTATAGTAAAAATTTGAGAGGTACAATGCATACCTTGATATAATCGTGCATTTGACCTTGAAAATTAAAAATTATTTATTTTATTTGTAATTTTTTAAGTTAAATTTGTGTTTGATCATAATTTTTTTCAAAGAATATTGGAATATGAATGTATTTTTTTTAAAAAAAACATTGTGTGTGTGTGTGATTTTTGAAATAAAAAATATGAATTATGATTAAAACATAAAACATAACTTAAATTTTATTTTATTTTTATTCAATTTCCCAGTAAAGCTTGGGTGTTGTATTAATCTAAAAAATTCGGCACCAAACATATACAAGGAGGTGGAAAGTCTTTGCCTCCAAAATCATAGCTGCAAAATGGAATTGAACCTAAACTTAAGTTCCAACAAATAGCATCAAGCAGCTAGTTATTTACAAGGATTTTAGTCACCAAAAAGTAAGCTTCTTGTGCTTGAATCTTTGCAAGGACATTTATTCTTGATCCATTTTGTAAGGGCCTCTCGTAGTTTGCAGTAAGTCCTCCAGGGTAAAGAAATTGTGGTCTTGATGGTGGATGCTCCATTTGACAAATGCATCCGCAACTTGATTAGCCTCTCGATAACAATGTTGGAATTGACAATTGATTTTTTGCGCCAACTTTGAGCTTCTGTGATAGTATCTTTCAGGTGCCAAGGTGAAAGAACTTTGTCGTTTATTATGTTGATAGCTAACATAAAATCTCCTCCCACAATAAGGTTATTAATACCATTTTGAACGCACCATTTCAGTCCATAAGGAGCAGTCTTGACTTCAGTTGTATTGCTATTGTCATTACTTCAAGGAAGATGAGAAAGCCATGACAATATTTCCATGAGAATCTCTACAAAGCCATGACTATTTTGCATGCATCTTGTTGCCATCTGTATTTAATTTAAAGCAGGGCCATTTAGGCTTGTCCCACTTTACTACTGTCTGGTCAATTCTTAGCACTAGAAGCATCATTTGATTGCAAATGCAAAATCAATCCGACCCCTAATTCTTATCGGGCATAACCTTGTTCAAAATCCATTTCATATGTGATAAGATTTGGTACTTAATCCTTTTAATTGAGCATTTGGTGTCGCCATACCTTTCTGCACATCTAGCTTTCCAACGTTTTGAATGTTTTTAAAATTTCAAATACAATATATAATAAAACAAAATTTCGAAAAAAAAAGTGAATAGATTTATAACTCTTTGTTAATGTGTATATTTATTGCAGTTAAAAGTTATTTTTGTTACAGTGATCAGTAACGATCGCCATGTTGCTAAAAAACCAAACAACTTCCAGGCCTAAAATAGGAAATCATGTAGTCATATCCTGGTTTCCAATTATCCAAGATGGATTTGGGAGCAGGCCATGGGGGGCAACAATGTCATCTCTCCAATACTTGTATATTCCACAGTGCAAAGTCATCCGACACTCGCTAGCTGTTTATTGCTTTTGGGAGTAAAATTCTCGATAATCATCATTTTATTGACAGCCAGCATAAGTAACGGGATTTGGGGCGATGACATATCAAATTTTTCTTTAGTAACAACATCACATACAACGAAATCCTACATTACTAATACACATTTTACTATCATGTATTGAAGTTAATATGTCTAACTTACAATTTTCTCAAGGTAAAGGAATAGTTCCCTAAACATTATCGCAGAAAAAAAAAACAAATTGCCAAAGCCAAATTAAAGCAAGAGCTAGCATTTTTAATCCACCATTGTATAACCTAAGTTTGTGGGTGAAAGGGTCTACCAAAAGTCTACCAAATGTGTCTGAACAAAAGATTGAATTTTTCCATCTTCAAGACTATAAGCGAACATATATCTGACACCCAATTTGAGATCAGTAAAATAGATGTGATTAGGCTTCACGCCTTTTATCTTAGAAGGGTCAATCGAAGTTGAAGCATTATACCCCAAAAGTATTGCTCTATCTCCCAATAATTTAATTCTTTTCGCTTCTCCTTTGATTAGATATAGTTCCCATACTTGAAATGCATATGTCTTATATCCAAAATTAGCTCTATCAAATTTATCATTACTAGAATATCGTGCAATAAGTAATAGTGCACCTGATACTTCAACTAGATAGAAATGCTTTTTATACGGCCAAGGTAGACCACAATTGTTTTTCTCAACAACCAAACGGGGTTCTTGATTACTAGGCGTTGCAACATCAATAACCCAAACTCCAACACGTGTGATCATATAAAATTGTCCTTTTAAGTAGTGGATATTTTGGAATTTACCACATCTTTTAATATCAATTTTATTCCATACGAGATCTCCAGGTCGCCAAAAAGCCAAATAACGTACATGGCCATTATAATACGAAATCATCAAAACATAGTCGGATGTTAAGGAAGGATCAGCAGATAACACAACTTTGTCAATGACCACGTGATTGTTATATTCACGTGTTGGAGGAATGATTCGGGCATGTGAGGAAGTGCTCCACAATGTCATCTCTAAGATACCTGTAACATATTCCACAGTGCAACGCCATCGTCCTTGATGAGCTGGAAGACGTAATGGCCCTTTAGGTGGACTTGTTTTTTGGGAAAGAAAGTAAAATTCTCGATAATCATCATCTTTATCAGCAGCCAGCATAAGTAACGGGAGTTGGGCTGATGACAGATCAAAATTTTCTTTGATAGCAGCAGTTCGCCATGATTTACAAACAACACCAAATATAACGAAATCCTCTATCTCTGTAACAAGCTTCGCGATCGTAACAAGTAGATCGTATGAAAGTTCAGACCAATTCGCCATAGCAAAAAGAGGCAAAAGAAAATAATTAGACAAGAATTTGCTCCTAGCACGTAATTTATACTAAAAAAATTTCTACTTATGTGAGACCTAGTAGAATTTGAAAAACACTCAAAAAAGAGGCAAAAGAAAATAATTGGACAAGAATTTGCTCCTAGCACGTAATTTATACTAAAAAAAATTCTACTTATGAGACCTAGTAGAATTTGAAAAACACTCAAAACCTTATTTTTATTTACTATATTTTTCTTTTTAAAATTTTACTCTAAATTTTTTTATTTTTATAAAATGGCCACTATTTGAATTATGTTTTTATGTTCAAATCATATTTCATATTTTTTTTACGAAAAGTGCATTCAATTATCTAACTTCAAAACTATCAAATAATAAAGTGAAAAAATATTTATAATGGTATGTAACATCTCGTATATGAAATCTTTCTATGACATTACATGATATCTATTATGAGATGTTATTCTTAAGAGCAGATTTGTATGTTTTAGATAAATTTAGTTGAGTTGGGTGATTTTATTTGTTTTTAAATATTAGGGGTATAAATTAAACCATATATAGAAAAAGTACACTAGATTCTAAATATTCATCGCAAAAAGTATGACCAAACACAACTCCAACTTAAATTTTTTTAATGTTCCAGTTTCCACATAGTAACAGTCTAACAGAGGAGATAACTATACATGCATTTTTAGCCAAAATATAGCTATGTACATGTGTTAGGAATGACAAATTTCATCCAACAAATAAAGAGTATTGCATTGTTTTAATCATCTAATCAAAATTTAAAAAACCATATAATTCCGTATAACCCACCACCCAAGAAATCAGTATCTCTATGGAGGTAGAACAAAGTTAAAGATAAATTCTTGGTTTTTAACAAATTGGTGCAAGAGAATACTAGTATTGCTAGACACTAATAGATCATATTTCCAGAGGAATGGAGGGATGTAGTGGTGTTCAAATTCTCCGACTACACGATGAGAAAAGACATTCGTGAACTCCTCTCCTTACCGTTAAGTGGCTTTCACTCATTAATAGTTTCCGGCTCAGGTAAAGGAGGCAATGGTGGTTGTTGGTGACATGGCTACCTGTGAACGCTATGCACAATATCCAGTATTGGCACTGAACTGCAGGCACTACTGCAGGGGTAACAGCTGGCCCTGCCCATAACTTACAACCACTAGCCATAGACTAAGTTGCTTGGACTCTTCACTTTCGATACCATACCCGTGTTGGATTCTCCAAAAATACACTACTTTTTGCGGATCCGACACGCACCCCTTGACATTTTTAAAGAGTCCGAGCAACATAGGTCATAGAAATAGATGTGTAAGAAGTTCTCCATCTCTTGCAATCTACTAACCTCATACACTCCAATATTTTGTACGACTGCAGGTGGTTACTCCAAGCCATACGTACAGGGAGGCAAATGGAGTGGAGGACAACCTAACAAAGATAGGTCGCAGTGCAACTTTTTTGACAAAGTCGCGGTTTTTGATACACCACTAGCTTTTACTCTTGCAGCATTAGCCAAGGATCAACAAGGACAATACCAACACAGAATCATCTTCTACCACGACAATAGCTGCAGATTCACAGTAGTTCTTGTACTCGTCCCACTCCCCCTTTTTTGTGTAATAATCCACAGGATCAACCACAAAACAGAGCTGCAAAATAAAGGAATTACATCTGCTACAAATATACTTTTTAAAATTTTAGGAGTTTCTAGGCCGTAAGTTCTTTACTCTACTTCCCGTAAAGATTCATGGTCCTTTCCTCTCAACATGATAACTTTTAAACAATGAATAACAATTACAAAGTAATTAGGGGTCGTTTGGTTGGGAACTAGTTATCCCATGATTAACTATCCTGGGATAACGTATCACACCATGTATATGGGATAACTTATCATATCACTATGCTATAAATGGTGGGATAAGTTATCCCAAACATGTCAACCAAACAAGCATCAAAATTTTATCCCCAGTACTACTTTTTTATCCCAGGACTATATTTCTTATCCCTCACACCAAACGAGCCCTTATAGTCTACCGAGCTATCCTCTGATGTGTATTACCAAGTGCTAACCATCTTCAAAGGGCTGAAAAGTGATAAACACTAAGACTTCGCACTCAAGTTCTAATCACTGAAAAACTCTAGCAATCCACAACTAAAATTATGTGCTGGAAGGAGAAAAAAGCAGACAACATCTCATTAAAGAGGTATATTTGCATAGTGAATATCACAAGCCTAAATCATTCATAGGAAGTATCATCAAAATTTACTTAAAAGAAGATTGAAATTCAAAACATAAACATACAGACACGATTACGATCAAAGAAAGCAAATAATTCTTAAAACTTTACTTTGATAAGACGGAAAAAATAAATAAATGGCCAAAACTAAAAGGCTAGAGAATGTTGCGGAGGTATGTTCAATTCCCCTTTTGATATCATAATGATGGGATAACCCAAGTTGCTGGGTAAATAGGATGAACAGAAACGCCCGCATAAAAAGATTGAATTTTTCCATCTTCAAGGTTGTAAGCTCCCATATCTTTGCCATCTCCGTATTTCCAATTATCAGTAAAATAGATGTGATTAGGCTTCACTCTTATCGACTTAGACGTGTCAATTGAAAATGATCCATTCCTCCCTAAAAAAATTGCACTATCTCCCAAGACCTTAATCTCTTTTGCTTTACGTCTAATTAAATCGAGTTTCCATACTCGAAAGTCATAGGTCGTATAGGATCCAAAAAAACCATCATACTTACAAAATTGTGAAACAAGTAACAGTGCACCGGATACTTCGACAAGATAGAGCTGCTTTCGCGGACCATAATTGTTTTTCTGAATAACCAATTGAGGTTCATAATCCTCATCAATAACCCAAACTCCGCTAGAAGTAATCATATAAAACTGTCCATTAAAGTAGTGTATATCCCATAATTCACCAAATTCATCAACATCATCAATTGGAGTCCAAAAGAGATCTCCAGGTCGCCAACAAGCCAAATAATTTTTATGTCTACTATACGAAATAATCACAACAAAATCGGACGAAAACGAAGGATTAGCAGATAATATAATTTTATTGATAGACACATAGCTATTTTCATGAGTTGGTTCCCAATCTCTCAAACCAATATGGGGAGGAAGATGAATTTGAGCATGTGAAAAAGGGTGCAATAATTTCATCTCTCCGATACCTGCATATTCGACGGTGGCAATCCATCCCATTGTTGAAAAACATTCTCGATTTCTAGATCTAGCTTCTGGGAGAACTACTCGTGTTATTTTCTTCTTCGAAAGAGAGTAAAATTCACGATAATCATTGCCGTCGTCTCTTTCAACAGCCAACATAAGCAATGGAAGTTGTGGGAATGGTCCATCAAAATTCTCTTTGGTAGCAGCAATTCGCCATGATTTACAAACAGCACCAAATACAACGAAATCCTCCATAACTGTAACACGATTTGCTATTGTAACAAGTAGATCGTATGGAAGTAACGACCAATCCGCCATAGCTAAAACTTAAAAGGGGGCAAAAGAGAAGAGTGATTTTACTTTTAGGGTTTTTGCGTTTTGAGGAAATTTATGTAAGCGCTCAACCAGAAGATTTGTTGGAGGAAAATTCGGACCCAATTCGAGTTACTTTTGGATTAAATTTGGGTGGGTCAGAAAAGAGTTGGATCAAAACGGACCCAATTCGAGTTATTTTTGGATTAAATTTGGGTGGGTCGAAAAAGTTAGATCAAAACGGATCAAGTAATAAATTATAAAACAGGTGAAGACTGAATCTAACCCAATTTTACTATGTTGTAATTGTTTTATTTATTTTATTAAAACATTTAGTACCTAATAAGATTATTATTTTTTCTTTATTATGACTACCTATAACAAATCAAATTAGGAAAAATATTGAAAATATTTTGACAAAATTTCTCATGAGTCAATTTGAATTACATATCAATCCAATTTTTATTAGATTGAAATGGATTAGCTGATAAATGGATGGATTAATAACCCGACCAAAATTAAAACGAATTAGGCAAATTGAGTTTGATTTTGCCACACGAAGTATTAAGGTAAACTTTGTCTATCAAACTTCAAAATCAAATACTATCCAGTATTGGCACAGAGACTCGGGTGCTACTGCAGGGGTTACAACTTGTCCTTAGAGTTGTTCAAAATTACCAAATCGAAATCAATAATTCAAATCATCGATATATAAAGTCCTTCCGTTACTTTTTACCGTCTCAAACTTGATTATACTGAAACTTATGTTGTTGTTGTATCGATAGAGATGTTGGTTCCATCTCTAAGGTGATAGAGGACTCTGCACTATCTCAATGCAAACATAGATTGTTGATAGAGGACCTTGTTCATTAACAATAATGAAGTAATTTGATGACAGAACAGAAATCATACATATAGTGATATTTGCTGAAACTAGGAAATATTCCACCTCCTCGATCAGTAACGATGATATTTATAGAGAGCATTAGGAAATAGCAACTTAATTTGTTTCAGTGTTGGAATATCTGCAAAGCTAAGAGGATCTCCTCGAGCTTCTCACACCCTCTTATAACAAGTGTTTCAAGCACTAAGGCATCCCACTTTGAGATATCTAAGTATTACTAGTTTCAAAAACTTAAGTTTGTGGAACGTGATATCTCTGAGGCACCACTCTTCTAATGAACGAAATCCTGTCCAAAGCTGACATATACCTCTTAATTGGAGATACCTCCGTGATAACACACACATACACCTTATCATAACATTCAAGAGTTACATCTCACCTTAATATCCTCAAACTTTCCAATTTAGAGGATTCCCCTGCTTATTGATTTCCCATTCATCAGAGATTTATTCTCACAATACTTGACCTTACCATTATATTCTCTCTCTGAAACCATTACCACGTTACTTTTAATGAGGTCCATCAAGAAGTTATAAAACTGATAAAGAAAGCAACACAGAACATTCTGGAAAAAGAACAGTAACAACAACAAATTAATGCAATAACCAAAACATAATAACAAAAGCAAGAAACTACATATATGTAAAACAAGATTACAATGTAAGAGAATAAATAATTCTCTAAACTTTATCTTGAGAAGGTGGAAAACAAAACTAAATGACCAAAGCAAAAACTTTTAATCTAAAATGTTAGAACAACGGGATAACCCAAGTTGATGGGAAAACAGGACTAACATGAGTGTTATGATTAAAAAATGTAGTTTTTCCATCTTCAAGATTGTAAGCCCTCATATATTTGCCATTGTGTTTGTTGAGGCTTAACTCTCTCCCATTAGTAAAATAGATGTGATTAGGCTTCACGCCTACAAACCTAGAAGGGTCAATTGAAGTTGAAGCAGTACAACCCAAAAATAATGCTCCATCTCCCAAGATTTTAACCTCTTTTGCTTCTCCATCGATTAGATCTAGTTGCCATACTTGAAATTCATATTCGCCAGCAATGTGTCCAACTACTTTACCATTTTCACAGAATTGCTTAACAATTAATAGTGCACCTGATCCTTCGACTAGATAGTACCGTGTATAGTATGGACAATATGTAGTCTCATAATTAGAGTTTTTCTTGAGAAGCAAGCGGGGTTGATCATGATTATCAATAACCCAAACTCCGTCATAAGTGAGCATATAAAACTGTCCGTTGAAGTATTGGATATCATTGGAGCGAACCACATCCTTCAATATCAATTTTGGTCCAGTAAAGATTTCTAGGTCGCCAGAATGACAAATAAGGTTTAAGCTTATAATTATAACAGATCATTACAATATAGTCGGATGTTAAGGAAGGATTAGCAGATAACACAACTCTATAGATTATCACATACCTTTCATCTTCCAAATATTCTATCAAGCTAGTCCGAGGAGGAAGTTGAATTTGAGCACGTGAGAATGGTTGCAATAACTTCATCTCTCTGGTACCTTTATATCCTACTGTACAAAGCCATCCGAACGATGAAAAACAAACTCTCCCTTTAGCTTCTGGGAGAAAAACTCTGTGTGAAACTTTCTCTTTGGAAATAGAGTAAAATTCTCGATAATCATTGTCTTCATCAGCAGCCAACATAAGCAACGGAACTTGTGGCGATGAAAAATCAAAGTTTTCTTTGGTAGCAGCAGTTCCCCATGATTTACAAACGGCACCGAATACAACGAAATCATCAATACATGTAACACGATTCGCTATCGTAACAAGTACATCGTATGGAAGTTCGGACCAATTCACTGTACCTTTTCTCATTGTTTTGGAATTCATGTTTGTGATTCAATCACGGTGGATATTTAGTAAAAACTAAAACAACTCCTGCTGCCTGCTGCCTACCAGCCCCAAACCTAGAAAAGGGTAATTATAACATTAATCTTCTTTGTAATTTACGATATTACATTTAGCTTTTATTTTTGAATTGTGTAACAATATATTACTTTATTTATTATTAACCTAATAAAATGTGATTGGACTAATTTACCCTTTCTGATTTGCTCTTTTGTTTTGTTTAAATCTAAAGTTCATGGACTTAACTCAATATTGGAAATTCAGGTAACAACTTAATAGTACTCCTGATGAAAAGTAGCCTAACATGAAAGTGTGACTTAACAGTTGGTTGGGGAATTTCACAAAGGGTGTCCAGAAATAACACAACATTCTTTTCGAAAAGTGGAAAAAACATTTGCTACTAGTGACATTCAAACACACAAACATTGCCTCAGTCCAAGCATCTGAAATCACTGGGCTACAATATAGCTTGTTGTGTTAAGGTTAATATATGTTATATAATCATTTCGTGTATCATTTTACTTGTATATGAGGTATTTTTTTGGACATCCTGACAACCATCTAGCTACGCCATTGTCTCCGGACATAATATCTTGTGAACATATGATATATTTGAAAGACGTTTGATTCAGACATTAAAATGTAAAAGTATTTTTCCTCACAGTACTTCATGAACATAAGAATGAAGGAAGGAAGCCAATTGCCCTTCTCTAACTAACTGTAGGAAAATCCTTACACAAGTCCAAATAAACCATGAACTCGACCTACAACCCTTACTCTGATCATATCATATATTTATATAAGTGGGAAGCTTCTAACTTCAAAGTTGGATTACCAATTTGCCCTTCTCTAGAAAAATCTCTTAATTTGAATTTATTTTAACAAAAAAAAAAGGAGACAAAACGGACCAAAAGTCATTACTTTTATTTAATAAAGAAACATTTCTTTTCTGGGAATTGAGAGATTTCTTTATCTTCCACATTCAACTCTTTGTTTTCTTATTGTTGAGATTGAAAGATTTTTTTGTCTTATCACATGCATTTTTTAATTTTTCTAAAGGGCAACAAACATTCATATTTTATCAACAAAATCAATTACAAGACGATGCTGTAGAAAGATATTAACTTAATCTTCTGGGCAATATGAAAACAAAATTTTAATTTAGGGAAGGTCAGCTCTAAAATGACAAATATCATAAAGTCAGTTGTATCTTTCTAAACATGGATTGATTTGTTATCTATTTCTTTTTTTAGTGTTCTTCATGAATATCTATATGCATGTGTGATTATATATTGTTGTTTTATACAAGGTTTTTGGGATAATAGAATGCCAACTCAACTTTGCAACACCAATTAATTATATATTTTTTGCTTTATGTAGATTTTATACGATTGAAGCAGTGAAAAGATATAATTTCTTTTTTTTCAGTTCGCATCTTAGGTAATTGTTCTATTCAATATTTTAGCACTTCTTATGGACTATCAAACTATTTTTTTCCTGTTTGCTTTTCTTTTTTTCTCATTTTTTATTTATCAATTGTTTGTTCATTGCAAAAGTCTATTTTTTTATTTATCAATTGTTTTTAACATTTCAAAATCTCGAAATATACTTACTAATGAATACCATTTTCAATAATAAATATTATCTTTGGGATAAAAATATAATATTATACTTCATAATTTATTGTACTTGAGTCTCTAAAACATAATTTTTATTTTTATGTTATATTAATTTCTAAATTTTCATTTTTGTATATATTATATTATTATTTTGAAAGTGGAAGCCTTTTAAGTTTAAAAAATGAATTACCAAAATGTCCATTATAAGTTGAAGGACATTTTTACTGATTAGTCATGAACTATTTCTTCAATATTCAAGTTATACAAAATTGTAAGAAAACATTTCATAAAATATTACCATTAAATTATTATAATTTTGTAATCAAATTATATTAAATGACAGAAAGACAAATAAGTTGGGAAGTGTAACCATCACCTTATTGAATACTCCAGCTTTTATCTTTACGTATTCTTCTAGAATATTCTCTAATTGGTTATGTGGTTAGATTTTTGACGTGCTAATTAATTACGTTTGTTTTTAAAAATAATTTTTTTATGTTTTTTTAAATGGAAAAAAATATTTGTAAGTTGAGTTGGAGGCTAAATTATATAAGACCGTGAAAAATTGAAAAATAAAGGTAAGAATTTTTTAGGTATATTCTTCGGTATAGTACTATGACATGATCTCTTTCATTTATTCCCTTTATTTTGCTTGATTTTTAACAATTTTAACTTTCTAATAGGTGATGTTATCGTCATATAGAAAGGAATTAACCTCCAAAAATCTTGAAAACAAATTAAAATGATAGGTATACATTGTGAATGATCTTTTAGTGTGTTGCATACTTATAATTATAGTTCTATTTCAAATATAATAAGGAAAAATACATTAAAAAAAAAAACCTGAACTTGGTCGGATAATGTAATTTAGTACTTAAACTACACGGGCGTTTAAATACCCCCTTTAAGATTTTTGAAGTGATTTTTTTCCACCCTGAGTCTATAACACCACTCTCACCCGCCACATCATAACCATGTAGGCACCATGTCATTAATCTTTATTTCTTTTTTACTTATTCACTATTTTTTCTTAAACACTTTTTAAAATTAATTATATCAATTGATTAATTTATAAATGCATACCCCCACCCTCAACCCCACCCCACCCCCTCTCTTTCTTCTTCCTTGTTGTTCACCATTATTCCAACCTTCAATACTTTCTTTTCTTCTTCTTCACTATTCAACAATTTTTTAAGTCACTTTAAAGAAGAAATTCACATTATCTTCTTCGAACCCTCCCAATGAATTTTCCCTCTTGGAGAATGAATTTTTTCGAAAGTCAATTTTTTCTTTACAACTCAAATAAGAAATGAAGATTGCATAAGAAAGTTGATCCAAAAAAAAATATAAATTTTATGAGAAATGTTTGAATGATCTAGAAATCAAAATGGGTCGCTCAAAATTTAAGAAAGTTTACATTTGCCAAATTGATACAAATAATAGAGTGAAATCGACGTCAATAAAATGACATTGCTATTGAATTTTACGAATTAGTAAAAGATTAGTGAAATGAAAATAGTGGATAGAGATGGGGAAGAATATGGAGGAAGAGATGTTTCAATGGAGAAAAATGTGTATTGAAGAAGACAACAAAATAAAAATTAAAAAAATAAAAAATAAATAAAAAGGGGACCCACTAATTTCATTTACCTCTTAATAAGAAAATTTACATATTTTAAAGATTTAATATATATGAAAAAAAACTATTTAAATAATTTGTTATATATTGGCCAATAAAAAAAGGTCATGTGTAGGGCTTTAAAAATTCACCTTTTTTTCTTCTCTTTTTTCACGCACTTTCAGGAGAGTGCACTCACTCTCTCTGCCACATCATCCCTTAGGGGGTGTTTTAATCACTTAAAAGATGTTAAAGGGGTATATAAACACCCGTGTAGTTTAAGTACTAAAGTAAGTTTTCGTGCCAAGTTTAGGGGGGATTTTATGTCTTTTCCCAATATAATAATTTATTGTTAGATGTAAAATGACTATTTTAAATTGTAAGAGTGATTGTACTATATTACATTGGATTTGAGATACTTATAATGAAGTCACCTCGTGTGCATACCGCATGCATCTAAACATGCACCCCTGGTTATTTGAGTAGGTGCCTAGGAAGTTGAATGGTGCGTAATTAGGAAATTCGTAGGGGTGTATAAAAAATGAAAAGACTATAATCAGTTATATATGAAATTTAAAGGGTTATATCACTATAAATAGGCATGTACCCTCCACTGTAGGGAATTCAAATGGATACATAGAAACTATGATAGACATACACTTATGTTTTATTTAGTGTGGTTTTATCTCTATGAATACATTTTATGTATAATTTAATTTTATGTTGCATTTTTAGGTAGATCCTTCTATTTGTATCATTTGAAATGATAAACTTGTAATTTTTTTATAAGTGTACTACATAAGTTCTTTCATAAGTTAAATATTAATTAATCATAATGTTTTTACAATCTTTTCACCTCCTAACTTCATTGCAAGCTCAAGAATCATAAAGTGATCATATTCATTAGTAAGTAACAAAGTGACCCCTTGAATTTTAATTGTTTATGGGAGAAGGTGTAGACAAGAACTCCGAGAATTATGTAGTAATTCTATCCTCCCTTTTTTTTCCATATGCACTGTTATGATTAAAGTCTTAAGAAGGATGTATATATTATATATTTTTTCATGTATATTTTTTGTGTGTTTTCTCCCTATTAGAATTCTTTAGTTTAATTTTCTACGATTTTCTATATTTTTATCAGGCTCAAATTTGTTATTTGTGACTTTAGTGAAAGTTTGCTACTACTAACCAACGTTCAGATTTACCGTTGGTTACTTTATAGGAAATTACTTTTAAACATTAAAATGCACCCCTTGTTTGGTGTTTCTTGTCACACTTTTAATGATTAATTATTTGTAATTGTTGCATTTTATTTCTCATTACATGCATGTTTTCATAGAATTGTAATCGTTCTAACAATCTAAAATAAAATTACATGGGACACACGTGCAACGCACGTACCCAAAGACTAGTTTTCTCACAAGAAGGAAGGAGACGAATCTGCCTAAATAAGGGGCCCTTTCGAGGCTTAGTGTGAGTCACTTTTGACCTAACAACAAGTGCTTCAAAGTATGTTGGGAACTTTGAAAAGCATGGACTGCCTGCAAGTATGGTGACCACAACAAGTTCTATCATTACAGAATGATAATTCAGTGCATATGGAACATCAAAGCCGTGATTCTGAATGCCTTTCCGGTGATTGATACTGAAGATAATTGGATCAACTTATGCAACAAGGTGGAAAATCTCCGTCTTGTTCATAGCATCAATGTTAGATGGAATAAGCCTAGCGTTGGTATGATCAAAATCAATACTGACGGTAGTTATTTTAGCAACAATAATACGTCCAGTGAAATTTTATAAGAGGGGTATGAGACGGAAGAGAAGGTCCTTCAGTTCAAGTGCAGCAAATCAAGTAATTATGAAAAGGCAAATCGTCACACTAATGAAAACATAGAAACTAAACACAATAGACAAAAGATAGTACTCCATAGATATGAAAAGCAAGAAACTACAAATGTAAAACAAGATTACAATGTAAGAGAATAAATAATTCTTGATAAAGTGGAAAACAAAAATAAATGACCAAGAAGAGCTTTTTGAATCTAAAATGTCAGAACGATGGTGTAACCCAAGTTGACAGGTAAATAGGACTAACAGGTGAATCATAATGAACCGATGTAATTTTTCCATCTTCGACATTGTAAGCCCTCGTATATTTGCAAGCACCACTTTTGTGGGGGGAAAGTAAATCTATCCAATCACTAGTATAATAGATGTGATTAGGCTTCACCCCTATAAACTTAGAAGTATCAATCACAGTTGAAGCATTACACCACAAAAAAATTGCTCTATCTCCCAAAACATTAATCTCTTTTGCTTCTCCTTCAATTAGATCTAGTTCCCATACTTGAAAGTCATATTCAATATTGGGTATAACTAGTTTATTACTTTCAAAAAATTGCGCAACAAGTAATAGTGCACCTGATACTTCAACTAGATATAGATGCTTTGAGTGCGTATTTCTCTCATAATTAATGGTTACCCAAAGAAGCAAGCGGGGTTCAAGATTATCAATAACCCAAACTCCATCACAAGTGATCATATAAAATTGTCCTTTGAAGTAGTGTATATCCTTGAATAAACCACATCTGTCAATATCAATTTTGGTCCAGTGGAGATCTCCAGGTCGCCAAAAAGCCAAATAACTTTTATGCCTATAAGGATACGCGATCATTACAACATAATCGGATGTAAAGGAAGGATTAGCAGATAACACAACTTTGCGGATGATGATCACATCTATTGATTCCGAATATTCTAACAAGCTAGTATGAGAAGGAAGCTGTATTTGGGCACGTGAGAAAGGGTGCAATAACTTCATATCTCTTATAACTGTAGCTATATATTCCACAGTGCAAAACCATCCTTGGGTTGAAAAACATTCTCGCCCTTTAGCTTCGGGGAGAAAGACTTTGCGTGAAACTTTTTTCTTGGAAAGAGAGTAAAATTCTCGATATTCATCATCTTTATTAGCAGCCAACATAAGCAACGGAGCTTGGGGAGATGAAAAATCAAAAATTTCTTTGGTAGCAGCAGTTCCCCATGATTTACAAACGGCACCAAATACAACGAAATCATCTATACATGTAACGCGATTCGCTATTGTAACAAGTATATCGTATGGAAGTTCAGACCAATTCACGGTATCTTTTTCCATATTAGAGCAAAAATAATAATGAATTTGCTTTGCTTTTTGTCTTAAACAGGAGGGGTGTTATAGATGCCGGCCCTAAACCTGGAGATAATTAAAAAGAGATAATATCAGACATAAAATAAGGATTAGACTCTTGGCACAGTTTTAGTCCGGATATTAAAAAAAATTATTAAAACATCGCTTGCCATGCAGCGATTTCTTTAGAAAAAAAATTTACTGATTATTTTTTCCTTTTTTAAATTGCTGCTTTTTCAAGGCAGCAATTTATTTTAAGCAAAAAAAATCTTTTTAATGAAATCGCTGCCTTGCAAGCAATTTTTTTTAAAAAAAAAATAATATTTTTAAGAAATTTCAATTTTAAAAAGTTTTTTTTTTTGAGATAAACGCTGCCATGTTTATAAGATTTTTTTTTTGACAAAATCGTTGACAGGGCAGCAATTTTTATGCTTTTTAATGGAGTAACGGCGTCAATTTTGTCAGAAGAAAATTGCTTCGTCACGAGCGATTTTGTCCTTTTGGTTTTAAAAAAAATTGATGTGCCCTTTTGGCTCCGAACTTGTTAGATAAGGATGACAGTTGGACAGGTTGGATTCAATTTGAACGGGTTATAATCATATCTATCCATCTCTCCAAATATAAATATAATATATATGATATATCTAAAATAAGTTTGATTCAGACCTTAAAACATAAAAGTCTTTTTACTCACACTTGAACATAAGAATGAAGGAAGGAAGTCAATTGCCCTTCTCTGCCTAATTAACGTAGGAAAATCCTTAGACAAAACCCAAATATACCTTGAACTCGACCTACAACCCTTATCATAATTCTCTCATAAGAAGGAAGGAGACGAACCTGCCTAAGGTGCCCTTTCGAGGTAGTGTGAGTCACTTTTGACTTTTAAAAAAGTGCTTAAAAGCTTTTTTTGTGTGTTACTCTTTTCTTTTTGTAAAACCATGTTAATAAGATTTAGCAAAAATTACAGAGCCAGAGAGGGACATGGCAACCCAACCTCCAGACACAAAAAAAGCATTTACAGTAGAGTTAATACTCCTAATTAGAGATCTTGTCTAAGACTAAGAGTTTTGGCACATTGAAATGCTATAAACCTAGATAAACATCGAAGTAACCAATAGCTAGATTTAGCCTAAGTTGGGGGCTTGTAGCACCAAGAAGAGTGTTTTTTTACTCGTCTTCGAAAGGACAGAAGCTGCATCTTATCCATTTTAAGGGGGCCAATAGCCTCCTTAGGAAGCTCTTCTTTAAGTAGGAAAATTTTATCTTCTTGAAGGGTGGTTCATGCTTTGCAAGAGCATCTGCGACTCCATTACTTTCTCTATAGCAATGACTAATCGCGACATTCTTCTGATGCATTTTGTGTTTGCATATCATCGATTATATTATGCAGCCTCCAAGAGAGTCTGGTCACCCTCAAACATTATAAAAATACTTAAAAGTTATTTTGACTTGAAAACACCAAAAATAATTTTAAGTTATTACGATATCAAACTTTAATGAGGACCTATTACCCCCAGACTATTTGATACCGTATTTTAAACATATATATTTGCCCACGTGCAACATTATAAATAGTAATGTGTCCACGTGGGCACATATATACATTTAAAATACACTATTAAATAGTTCAGGGGTATAAAATACACTATTAAATAGTTCAGGGGTAATAAGTCATCCATAAAGTTTGATATCGTAACAGCAATTTCGCCCAAAGTAGAGGTATTTTTCATAAATTACAAAACTAATATAACAGAAACCTAGTAAATCATCTTCTTCTTAAGTTGTTCAACAACATTACATTTGCATCTTCTTCTTAATCTCTTTTGGTTCTTCTTCAATTAGATCTAGTTCTCATACTTGAAAATCATATTCAGGATCGGGTCCAACTAGTGTACGAATTTCATAAAATATCGCAACAATTAATAGTGCACCTGATACTTCGACTAGCTAGAGTTGCTTTGAGCACGAACAAGTTATACCTTTTTCAGTTGTAAGGGGAAAAAGTAATAATGAATTTGCTTTGCTTTTTGTCTGCTTTGTTATTTTGATTTATGTGTAACAATCTATTTATTATTAACCTAATAAAATGCACTCAATCTCCTAATCACCCTCTAAGAAGGGTATTAAAAGAGTTAAGCTTCCTACAGAACTCTAGTTATGCAAATCTCTGTAATAATATAGGGTAAATCACATAAATATGCTATATTAAAAAAATATTTACCATTTATGTCAATATAATTTTTCTAACTAAATATAACAATTTTTTTGCAATTAAGAAAAATGTACCGCCACTTGCCTCTTTCTCGGCCCTTTTTCCTCTTCCTCTTTATTTTTTAATTCTTCTTCATCTTTCTTTTCTCTATAATTATTATCTTCCGACTCTTCTTTTCTCTTTTTTTTTAAAATTTCTTCTTCTTCTTTCAAATTTTCATTTAAATAACAAATCAATTTTTCATATTTCATTATTTTTATCCAAAAAATACAACGAAAAAAGAAATGGAAAGATGAAAATTTGTACAAAATCATGTTTTCAAGCAGAAATTTCAAATCTCTAAAACTACAACAACAAGAGTTCACCATTGATGGTCATTATAAAGATTCAAATTTTGAATTCATTATTTGAATTTTACGAATTTGTGATTAGTTTGGATAGGATGTTCCTACAAATTATTGAAAATGTCGTATGGAATTTATATCTCAATTTCAAGAGGGTTTGGTTAAGTTTATAATTGGTTTTAGGAGAAATATTAGATTGAAACTCAAAAAAAGTGAAGTTTATGAAACTGTATCGCAATTGTATTAAAGTTGTATTAGATATGTTTCATAATTGTATTAAAATTGAATTAAAATCATGAACAATACATTTATAATACATATTACAAACTTCACTCTTTTTAGTGATATCAACCAAAATAATTTAAGCAACACACTCTTAATACATTTATAATATAGGAACAATACATTTGTAATACATATTGCAAACGTCGTCTTTTTCTTAGTGGTACAAATCAAAATAATTTATAAGATATATATAATACATGTTTTATTCATGAATAATTTATAATACATATTGCACGCTTCACTCCTTTGTTAGTGATACCAACAAGAATAATTTAGGTAATACACTAATAATATCTTTTTAAGACATCCACATTACATTTTAATACATATTGCAACCGTCACTCATTTTCTTAGTGATAAATTAAAATAATTTATAAGACACATCTAATATAAGTTTTATTCATGAGCAATCCATTTATAATACATATTGCAACCATCACTCATTTTCTTAGTGATACAAATCAAATAATTTATAAGACACATATAATATAAGGTTTATTCATGAACAATACATTTCTAATACATATTGCAAACTTTACTCTCTTCTTAGTGATACCAACCAAATGATTAATACATGCACACTACATTTTTAATATATATTGCAAACATCACTCATGTTCTTAGTGATACAAACCAAAATAATTTATAAGACACATATAATACATGTTTTACTTATGAATAATACAAGTTTAATTTAGTCTATAGATTATTATCTTGTCTTTCGTTAGTTATGTTTTTTTATTTATTCTTAATTTTCTGTTTAATTCAACTTTAATATTGTGTAATACATTTTTAATGCAAATTTAATTCATTTTGTAGTTTAATATTTGTTGCTATTAGATTACTTGTTTAATTCATTATTGATATACGTTTAATTCACTCTATAGGTCATTGTCTGGTGTTTTCATTAGTTACATTTTTTATCCATGCTTAATTCTCTCTTCTAATTCAACTTTAATATTTGTGTAATACACTTTTAATACAAGTTAATTCATTTTACAGTTTATTGGTTGATTTGTTATGATTAAATTACTTGTTTAATTCATTATTAATACAAGGTTTATTCAGTTTACAAATCACAGAATGCTCTTTCGTTTGCTACATTTTGCATGCGTATTTAATTCACTTCTAATTCAACTTTAATATGTGTGTAGTACATTTTTAATTCAAGTTTAATTCATTTGGCAGTTTATTAGGTTTCTTCATTTGTTACGATTAGATTACCTGTTTGCTCTTTAGTTTGGATAGGTTGTTCCTACAAATAATTGAAAATATCATTTGGAGTTTAATATCTCAATTTAAAGAGGATTTGGTTAAGTTTAGAATTGATTTTAGGAGAAATATTAGATTGAATTTCGAAAAGGATGAAGTTTACGAAACTATATCACGTTTGTATTAGATATGTTTCATAATTGTATTAAAATCATGAATAATACATCCTACATTTATAATACATATTGCAAACTTCACTCCATTTTTAATGATATGAACTAAAGTAATTTAGGTAACACACTTATAATACATCACACTCGTTCTTAGTGATACAAACCAAAAATAATTTATAAGGCACATATAATACATGTTTTATTCATGAATAATATAAGTTTAATTCAGTTTATAGATCGTTGTCTTGTCTTACGTTAGTTACATTTTTCATTCATTCTTAATTATTTCTTCTAATTCAACTTTAATATTGTGTAATACAATTTTAAAGGAAGTTTAATTTATTTACTTGTTTAATATTAGTGTAATACAATTTTAATCAATTTTGCAATTTATTAGTTGATTTTTTACGTTTAATTACTTGTGAAATTCATTGTTATACAAATTCATTCCGTTTACAGATCATAGAATGCTCTTTCGTTTGCTACATTTTGCATTCATATTAATTCTCTTCTAATTCAACTTTAATATGTGTGGAACACATTTTTAATTCAAGTTTAATTCATTTTGCAATTTATTATGTCTCTTCATTTGTTACGATTAGATTACTTGTCTAATTAATTAATTAATAATAAAAATTTATTTAGTCTACGAATCATTGACTATATGAAAGAAAATAGAGAGAGAGAAAGGGGAAAAAAGCAAGAGGGAGAGGGAGAAAGTGCAACAAAAAGAAAAAACAATAGAAAGAAAGAAAGAGA